TTACCAGCTGCGTGACGTTGCTTTGCAGTGCCACGATTGACAGTGAGCATGGCTCAGAAAACGGGAGACAAAGTAAACCAGTTAGTGAAGGAAATTCAGCAGGATGAGAGGTGGTGGGTTTACACCCTGATTCCAAACCAACCATGAGGAGGCGTACGAGCCGTACACACACACACACACTTTCGCGGTCGTGGCAACGGTCATCGGCTCAATTGAGTATCGAGGTGTATTGGGCACATTGGACGTTTGACCCCGTCCAGAGGGCGTATGATCTGCAAACCGACTGCAGTGGCGTTCTTGTTTTCATTTCTTATCAGGTCAGAATGCTTGAAATGGTATGTACGCAGAGTTCAATTGTGCACTGTGTTGACCATGGAGATTTACCTTATTCCCCCTCCGTCAAAGTAGGTCCAATCCCTGTCCAACTTAAATTTTACCACTAACCTTGGCAGCGATCAGTGAAGTTCGCTTCACTGTATTTCGCTGTACGATGATGATGCTGATGATCACACCGGCCCCCAATGGATTGCGGTTTTACACATCGCCCCGCTGTTTTGCGGGTCAGGCTTTGGCCAGCCGAAGGCTCCGGTTGTGGATTCCTGAAGAAAATGCACTTGCCTTCGACAAGGCAACCTGGCAGTATTCAGCCCAAATGCAAATCATGGAACGCTTCTCTTTTTTACAAAAACTATTGTACAATGATTTGTTCAGCACACGGTGCTGCCTCAGGCGTGTGTGAAATACAAACATACATTGATCTGACAATCGTCCTCCTTAGGACATAGCACAAGGGTCTGATGACGGTATTTAAATTTAGCGGATATCACTCACCACTTCACTGACTGCTATCTTACGTTGTGAGACTACTCACACCTGTGAGTAGTACGCATAACGATGCGGTTGGCGGTTTCTTTCAACTGTCAAAAATGAACAAGACTTCTTATAGTGAATTGCTGTGTCCGAAATGATAACTATCGACTGTTCAACTCAATATCCTGTGTGCTGCCGGGAATGACGATGATTTATTCAAAATGAGATATCTTGTTGTATGTACGTCAAATTATCTATACCCTAAATCTAGGTAGCAATAAATAACTCTCCTCAAGCCCATATCGGTCTTCTGGACTTATAACACCTTGCCACTCGCAACTGGATGCGGAAAGGTTAGAGGTTCGGACTCGATTAAAAACACTGAATGGTAACGGGAATAGACTTGTAATCCTATATCAGAGAATCCTCAATGAGTATCTTTGTAACACTTGCCTGCATCACTGCAGAAAAGAGATGTACCTAGTCAGTCTGAGTGTAAGGACGCCACCACATGTAGGTAGCCAAAGCATCACAATGTGGACGATACATGATAATTGTAAAGAAACCGCTCGTTTCTCAAAAGTTCGCCTTCTGAACGCGGTTTCCCGGCTAATCCAGGTATCAGGGGTAGATCAAGACTACAGCATAAAAGTCCTGAAGCGAAGTCCATACTACTAAGTGTCGAATTTGTCCAGCGCAAACAAGCGCTCCGATTTTGCCGAAGCAAAGATCCTCTGGGATCGTCGTTATATAGTTCGAGGACTGCCCTGATGGTGAACGCTATGGTGCTGCAGAAGACTGCAAAGAGCGCATTGGCCTCTCGGAAGAATCCACTCGATATGACGTAGAAAAATTTAAACCTAGTAAACGCAGCGAGAGCAGTTGGTGAATTCGTCAACGTACGCTTTCAGTATTCTCAATAGCATAACTGACGCAGTGGGCATATGACGGTCGTACAGTACATCGAACTGACCACATAAATTTACGATCCCATCGGGAATTAGTTTTGGAGGATTGGCAAGCGATCTGCGATACAGTGAAGAGAAACATGGGCGGTGCAAATCACATCCCCATACGTGCTCGCTTTAACATTTACGCATCCAAATGCATATATTCGTTCCGGAAAGTGCCATCGCAACCCGGCTGACCACTGGTAACGCAAACTAATAAACCTAAGGCGGAAGAACAGTGACAGCATATTAAGGTGTTCAAAGCAGATGTTTGCTAGGAGGAACCACCATACACCGGAAAGACCGGATCTTAGAAACCAACCCGGTTGGCAATGGCACGGTGGTACCGTCACCAAATTAGCACCCTGGAAGATGTATGTATTGTATAGCGGCCCTTTGATTGGCTGCTTTCCTCTTCCTGAAAACCAAATGGCGAAAATAAAAGGTCAGGTTAAAACGGCGTCCACTTGTTGGTCTTCAATTATGGGTAAGCTGCATACGCTATTCTGTTCAACATGGGACAGCTAAAAAATATTTTGAAGAACACGGTACTCTATTGTGCTTGTAATCCCCAAGAAAAGCTAAAAACCATTTGCGATACAATAATCCTTTAGAAAAAGAAAAACGTTCCACGATTTGTATGTGGACGGAAAACTTCCGGGTTGCCCGAGCCAAGGCAGGTGAAGTTTCTCGAGGAATTCACAACCGGAGCCTTTTGCTAGTCAAAGCTTGACCCGCAATACAGCGGGGCGGTGTGCGAAAACCGCAATCCATTGGGGGCCGGTGTCCAGTTCATCAGATCACACGTCCTTTGAACGGGATCCAACGTCCAAGATGCCCAACTGAGCCGGTGATCACTGCCACACAGAGGAGGGTGTGGGTGAGTGTGGTTCATACGTCTCCTCGTAGCTGGTTTGGAATCAGGGTTTTTGGCCAACTCTCCTAGGTGAACTACCAGTGGTCTACCGAACCGGTTATAGCGGCTATTCGTCCTGTCACTTCGGTGCGAAAACACCTCCGCCACGAGAAGGCAGTGAGTAGGGCTTCCACAGTAGAGGCTATTTGAGACGCTTGGTCGTATGGGAGCATTTCGTGAGGCGCAAGGGAAGAGTGAGCAGCCGCAACCCTTCACCGATCTTATTCAGG